GAGAGCCCAAGAGCCTAGAACTAAGATAAATTAAAGCTAGAACTATCTAGAACTAACATGGGATGAGATAAAACTAACATGATATGGGTTAGAACCAACATGTGGCAAGTTAGAACTAACTTAAGAGCCCAAGAGCGTAGAACTAAGATGAATTAGAGCTAGAACTAGATAGAACTAACATGGGGCGGACTAAAACTAACATGAGGCATGTTAGAACTAACATGGGGTAAGTTAAAACTAACTTGAGAGCCCAAGAGCCTAGAACTAAGATGAATTAGAGCTAGAATTAGCTACAACTTACATAGGACGAGCTAGAACTAACATTGGGCGGGTTATAACTAACATGTGGAAAGTTAGAACTAACTTGAGAGCCCAAAAGCCTAGAACTAAGATGAATTAGAGCTAGAACTAGATAGAACTAACATGAGGCGAACTAAAACTAACATGGGTTTTCAAGTTAGTTCTAGATAGTTCACACGGCATCTTCCTTTCACTTCTCTCAGAGGTTGAGATAATGAAGGAACGATTCGTAATATTCGAAGCGATATAACAAGAGGTAGAAAATGAGCCCAAGTGAAAGCAAGATACAATGTGATATATAATATAAAGGGCTATATACTGGCAAAAACGGTGGTAAAAACGGAGACCGGATGTGGCCGAAAAATGCTCGCGAAGTTGGCACGGTGCTGATGTTTTCTGCTTGTTGCTACCATCGAGCGATGTTTCAGACGTTACCGAGAGAGATAGAGAATGAGTTAGAGTGTGATACAAATTGAAGATGATAGGCAACATGTAGGGCTACTCACCAAAGAAAAAATCGACGGAAATAAAGATTAGAGGTGATTGAAAAGTGCGTGCGAAATCGGCATAAAACTATAGTTTTATGCAGTGCAATTTCTAACCATTCGGGTTTGTTTTTTACTGTTTGGAGCTTTTCACCACTATCTGGGTTTGTCAGAGGTGGGAGGAGGTTGTCGAGATCGTCGGGGTGTCTCGGTGGACTCCGTCGGAGGTAGGAGGAGCTTTTCTCCATTCCCAATAGCCTAGAACTAAGATAAATTAGAGCTAGAACTAGCTAGAACTAACATGGAGCGTGTTAAAACTAACATGAGACATGTTAGAACTAACATGGATCATGTTAGAACTAACATGGGGTAAGTTAGAACTAACTTGAGAGTCCAAAAACTTAGAACTAAGATGAATTAGAGCTAGAACTAGCTAAAACTTACATGAGGCTGGCTAAAACTAACATGGGACGGGTTAGAACTAACATGGGATAAGTTAGAACTAACTTGAGAGCCTAAGAGCCTAGAACTAAGATGAATTAGAGGTAGAACTATCTATAACTAACATGGGACGGGCTAGAACTAACATGGTGCGTGTTAGAACTAACATGTGGCAAGTTAGAACTAACTTGAGAGCTTAAAAGCCTAGAACTAAGATGAATTAGAGCTAGAACTAGCTAGAACTAACATGGGGCAGACTAGAACTAACATGGGACATGTTAGAACTAATATGGGGCAAGTTATAACTAACTTGAGAGCCCAAAAGCCTAGAACTAAGATGAATTAGAGCTAGAACTAATTAGAACGTACATAGGACGGGTTATAAGTAACATGGGGCGTGTTAGAACTATCATGGGGCAAGTTAGAACTAACTTGAGAGCCCAAAAGCCTAGAACTAAGATGAATTAAAGCTAGAACTAGCTAGAACTAGCTAGAACTAATATGGGATGTGCTAGAACTAACATGGGTTCTCAAGTTAGTTCTAGATAGTTAACACAGTATCTTCCTTTCAATTCTCTCAGAGGTTGAGACGATGAAGGAACGATTCGTAATATTCGAAGTGATATAACGAGAGGTAGAAAATGAGCATAAGTGAAAGGAAGATATTGTGTGATAGACAATACAAAGGGCTACACACCAGCGAAGACGGTGGTAAAAACGGAGACCAAAGGTGGCCGAAAAACGCGCGCGAAGTCGTTATGGCGCTGCTGTTTTCTGCTGACTGCTGCCGTCGAGCGATGTTTCGGACGTTACCGAGAGAGATAGAGAATGAGTTAGAGCATAAAAAAAATTAGAATTGATAGGCAATATGTAGGGCTACTCACCAAAGAAGAAATCGGCGGAAATAGAGATTCGGAGGTGATCGAAAAGTGCGTGCGAAGTCAGCACAAAACTATAATTTTTTGCAGTGTAATTTCTCGCCGTTCGGGTTTGTTCTTTGCTGTTTGGAGATTTTCTCTACTGTCCAGGCTTGCCGAAGGTGGGAGGAGGTTGCCAGGTTCGTCGGAGTGTCTCGGTGGGCACCATCGGAGGTGGGAGAAGCTTTTCTTTATTCCCAAGAGCCTAGAACTAAGATGAATTAGAGCTAGAACTAGCTAGAACTAACATGGAGCGGATAAAAACTAACATGGGATGTGTTAGAACTAACATGTGGTAAGTTAGAACTAACTTGAGAGCCCAAGAGCCTAGAACTAAGATGAATTAGAGTTAGAACTAGCTAAAACTTACATGGGGCGGGCTAGAACTAACATGAGACAAGTTAGAACTAACTTGAGAGCCCAAGAGCCTAGAACTAAGATAAATTAGAGCTAGAATTATCTAGAACTAATATGGGACGGACTAAAACTAACATGGAACGGGTTAGAACTAACATGGAGCAAGTTAGAACTAACATATGACAAGTTAGAACTAACTTGAGAGCCCAAGAGCCTAGAACTAAGATGAATTAGAGCTAGAACTAGCTAGAACTAACATGGGGAGGACTAAAACTAACATGAGGCGAGTTAGAACTAACTTGTCCCAATAGCCTAGAACTAAGATGAATTAGAGTTAGAACTTGCTAGAACTAACATGGAGCGGGTTAGAACTAATATGTGACAAGTTAGAACTAACTTGAGATCATAAGAGCCTAGAACTAAGATGAATTAGAGATAGAACTAGCTAAAACTAACATGAAGCAGGCTAAAACTAACATGGGGCGGACTAGAACTAACTTGAGAGCCAAAGAGCCTAGAATTAAGATGAATTAGATTTAGAACTAGTTAGAACTAACATGGGATGAATTAGAACTAACATGGGGCGAGTTAGCACTAACTTGAGAGCCCAAGAGCTTAGAACTAAGATGAATTAGAGCTAGAACTAGCTAGAACTAACATAGAGCGGGTTAGAATTAACATGGAGTAAGTTATAACTAACTTGAGAGCCCAAGAGCTCAAGAACTAAGATTTCGGATATAAGATCAAGACACGATTATTTTTCCCGATTAGAAAAAAGGAAAAAAAATTGAGGGTGTTGTTGGTTCATCAACAGAGGAGAGTCACAAGTAGAAAAATAAAGAAGACATTAAAAGTCTCGTTAGAATTAAAGTCAAAACTAGTCATGTCATTCACTTTCTTCTTTAACTTCAAAACCCACTATTACATCCACGAGTCTCAACATAAAAATATAATTTTGATTTATTTTAATCATGAGACTTCCGTGAGCCCTTGCTTTTCTGACACAAGGCTAAGTCACACATGAGAAACAAATGAACTGAATACTTAATTAAACTCCATGATTTTCCTCTCATATCCAGCAAACATAACAAGCCCATTGTGGGATGCACAAAATACTTCATTAGAGGTGACATTGCTCTTTGCTGTAATATAAGCTTTTCATGCAACCCAGAATACACCTTCGCTTGCTAGATAAAACTAACCGTCACATTTTTTTTGAAATTAATGAATGTAAGGTAAGTATAAAGGACTTCTTCACTTACTCGAGGGCGAGGCGGAGAGCGGTAACAGCTAACTCCGACGTGATCGAGGGCAAGGCGGGGAGCGGTGGCAAGCTACGAAGATGAGGTCGGGCGGAGGAGAGGAGGGGATGCGGCAACAAATTCGAGGACGAGGCAAAGAGCGGCAACGGCGGACTCCGATGTGGTCGAGGGCCGAGGCCGCGCGAGCTACGACGATGAGTGGCGGAAGGAGAGGAGGCGAGGCGGCGACAAACTCTAAGGCGAGCTTAGGGGCTGGGCGGAGGCGGCGACGGCGAGGAGGGCGAGGGCTAGGGCGACGAGCTTGAGAAAGCCATTGGTTTTAGAGAGAGAGAGAGAGAGAGAGAGAGAGAAAGAGAGAGAGAGCTGGGTTTGAGGGATTGAAGAGAGGGTATAAGGTTATTTTGGGGATTTTAGCTTAACTGGCATGTAATAATTGCTAAAAAGGCGGCTGCAGCATAAAGTGCCACATTTTAAGGGACTTAATCACATGGGGGGAACTAGGAGGGGCTGCAGCACATGAAGTTTCTGTTTTTTGGGTCTGGACATATTTTTCCCTATATATAAAGAAAGTACGCCATCAAAAAATGAATTTTCTCTTCTCACCATTTATTTTTATGTCGTGGTGAATAACAACCCAAATACGTGTGAAGTAGATTACTTATTTTTCCATTACTAGTTTCATGTATAATATATTAGATTATTTTGACCAATATTAAAGAACCAAAGATGTAATCTTTTACTTCATCAACAAAAACTATAATATTTATAAACATGGGCTCTTCACTTTCATCAAACTATTAATCAAAAGTACTCACTAGTTTATATTATGGCGTTGAAAACAAGTATTGGTTTCTGCTGGTCATCAACTTACCCTCCAAATCTTAATATCTATAAAACTACCCCTTAAATAATTAATTTTAAAAAAGGACACAGATCTACCGGTCATCAACTTTAATAGGACAATATGCAAATTTAATTTAAAAATTATAAAAAGTAGCTAAATCTATATTCATCAGGTTGATGATTTTTTGAGTTTAGATGTTGCCAAAGTTGGTGATTTGAGGGATACTTATCAAATAATAAGATTTAGAAATAGTTTTGCAAGTTTTCATGATTTAAGGGGTGTATATGCAAATAATCCAAAAAATAAAAAGATAAGATCACCGAACCGTCGCAAACCCAAAAGCTCACATTATTAACGGGACCCACGGAACCGTCCCATCTCTTTCCTCTCTTCTTCTCTCTTCCCTCATAAATTCCCACTCTCGAGAGCCCATCCCTCTCTCGTTCCAAACTCGAAACAAATCGAAGCAATGGCCTTCGCAAAAGATCCAAACCTCGATCACTGAAACCCTAGTTTTTTCTCTGTGGAAAATCTGAGAGCTTTTTAACTCCAAGATGGCGATGATGAGCAAGACGAAGGATTTGTTTGAGGGGATAATGAGGGAGGGATCTTTCAAGTGGGCGATCAGTCGAAGGACTTCGTTCGATGAGGAGTTTGAGGAGATGGGACGCTCTCCTTCGGGTAAAAGGAAGTCGATTCCAGAACTCTCGCCGATAGCTAACGTGATTGTTGGTCGATGCTCCAAGTATGGTTTTTGCGATATTTGTATTTTTTTAATTTTAATTTGATTTAAGCTGGAATTATATGTTTTTTTATGTTTTTATGGCCAATTGGCGTTAACTGTTTGTGGTTAATTGCACGTATGATTAGAAGTGGGAAGAATCTCTTTCTACTTTTAATTTGGTGTCCCAAAGTTTGACAGTTCTTTAACTTTGATATCCTCCATAGCCCTAACTTTGTTTCTCACTTTCCCATACTCAAAAACTGAAATTGGGTAGGAAAATAGTTTCTCATTCAACTTTTATATGTTGATATTCTTGAACAAAATTAACATCAACATTTTTGCATTTTGTGGTATTATATTGTCAACAAAGAACTTCAGGGTATCAAAGTTAAGAACTTGAAATTTGAGGTATTAAGGTTCAAATAAACCATGTGATATATTTATTTTTGTTTGTAAGCTCATGGCCAACATAATCATCGAAAAGGTAAAATCTTTAGCTCTTAAGTACATAAACTAAGAACAAAAAGCCCAATCTTGTAATCAATTGCACCAAGTTTATGAACTACATGAGTCTGTTAAGTCGAATGCAACTTAATTAATAAAAAAGTCACACCTTTGAATCAAATGCCATTTCAGAGTGAACCAAATTTCTACTAAAAATCATTGGATACCAACATAATCACCAAAAAAATTAAAAAATGAAGTACAAAAATCAAACCTTTAGCTCCACAACGACATAAACCAAGAACAGCCCCAACTTTAGCTTCCTATTGGGTTTGGGTCTGGTGATCCGATTCTGCTTCTAGACCCTGATGCATATGAACCTGGCAAGATTCAGTGACCTGAATCCTCTCGATCTGCTCTAAGAGAACCGGTGGAGATAGGGATTGGTAGAGGCAATGGTGGAAGAGTCGACACATTCCGTCGACGAGGGAGTTGCCGCCCATATAAAGGTGATGTTTGCGGGTAGTGAGTTTGGGTTTGGATGGGCATTCAGGTTTAGACCTATATTGATCAATAGAAGAAAGTAAACACATTTGAAATCTCAATCAACTACCCGCAAACATCACCTTTATTTGAGTTTGGACCTTACTATTCTCTTCACTTTCATCAAATGTAACAAAATGACTCATCTTGTTTGATATTGTTAGCTTGAAAACAAGTGTTTCATAAAATATCTTAACTGTATTAAGGGCGTGTTTGGTTCGCTTAAAAGGGCCGAAGAAATACGTTTCTACACCTGACACCACATCCACATCGTCATTTTTGTTTCCGCCCCTTTCATTTCCTCGCTTTGGTTCACTCGGGGAGAAGGGAGAAAACTCTGCTGAAAACACCACCACTTAGGAAATTTTCCCTTCCCCGATTTCCCTTCCCAACCGAGAGAAATCGAGAAAAACCCTAGCCGCTCTGACAACTGCCCTCTTAATTCTCCCTGATTTCCTTCCCCAACCGATTAGCTACGCTGGGTTACCTCCTCGCCTCTCGCCAGAAATCTCCCGCGATGTCTTCGTTGTTGTCTTCGCCGTCTTCGTCTTTTTCCTGGATTTCTGTCGTGGGTTTCTTCGTCGCTGAAATTGAGGTATAAATAATAAACCCTAGATCTGAAATATCATTCAAAGTTATTGTTTTTGTTCTAAAATTGCTTCGTCGTCGAGCTCTTGTGGCTGTTTGTTGTTAATAGGCTGATTTGAGCTTGTTTAGCTCTATGTTGTTAGGTTTTTGGCTTCTATTTGTGCTCGTCGTTGAGCTCTCGTGGCTGTTTTTTTGTTAATAGGCTGATTCAAGCTTGTTTAGCTCTATGTTGGGTTTTTGGCTGCTATTTGTGCTCGTCGTCGAGCTCTCGTGGTTGTGATTTTTTTACTTAAGCTATGATGATTGTCAAAATTTTTGAGATTAGCAACCTGCAATATCTATTAATATTACATTGGATGGCTAATAATGATGATATTGACAAGTTATGAGCCCTAAGTGATAATTTTCATACATGCTTAGGTTAGTTCTCAACTAGTGGTATGTTAGTTCTAGTTGAGCCCCTGTTAGTTCTAGCTGATGTCATGTTAGTTCTAACTTCCAGCTAGTGATTTCTAATATAAGTGTTAGTTCTAGGCTATGATGATTGTTAAAATTTTTGAGATTAGCAACCTGCAATATCTATTGATATTGCACTGGATGACTAACAATGATGATATTGACTAAGTTCTGAGCCCTAAGCCGTAATTTTCATACACCTTGTATTATACTTACAAGCTCAACTCACACACACGTTTTTAAGAAAATATCATATTTATGTATTATGGACTCAACGACAATATTTTATACCTTTATTAAGTCCTTTAATCCACTCAGAAGTGTTTTCAAATATGTTTACAATTATCGAGTTAAAATCAAGTAGTTATGAACTCGTATTTTTGACATTTTTCACAAAACATGATTTTTCATAAATATGAGGTGCTATTTGAAAATTTCTCTTTCATACAAGTTTGTGTTCATATTTAAAAACTTTCCCCAAGGTTTTACCTTTTTTAGAGCTCATTTGCTATTTTAATTGATTTCTAAAAGTCCATTTTTTTGAATATATTGTTGATATAATTTTGAGCCTGGTTCATGGATGGTTGGTGGGTGTTTCTTGGTTCATTGGCTAGTGGGTGTTTCCTGGTTCATTGACTGATTGGTGTTTCTTTGCATATTGTTTCCTGGTTTTTGTTGGTTTTTACTTTTGCTTTTGTGCTGGCTTTGTGGCTGTTTGTGATGATGATGAGCTCATGTTGCTGTTTGAGTTCTTGGAAAACAGGTTTTGTGTGCACACATTGTTCAAGTGCTGTTTTGTGTTATTGGTTGGTGTTGTTTTGTTTAGGTTTGTTCTCAGCCAGATTTTGTGCACATATAACCAGTTTTGTAAGAGGTGTTGCTCGTTCATATATGCTCAGGTTTGTTCTCAACTTTAGTTCTAGTTGAGCTCATATTAGTTCTAGCTGATGTCATGTTAGTTCTAACTTTCAGCTAGTGTTATTTTTAATATAAACGTTAGTTCTAGTGGTATGTTGGTACTAGTTGAGTCTCTGTTAGTTCTAGTGGCTCTCGTGTTAGTTCTAACTGATGTCGTGTTAGTTCTAACTTGTAGCTAGTATTTATTTTTATTTTCTAATATAATTCTCTTCTAGTGGTATGTTAGTTCTAGTTGAGCCCCTATTAGTTCTAGTATCTCATGTTAGTTCTAGCTGATGTCATGTTAGTTTTAACTTCCAGCTAGTGTTATTTCTAATATAATTGTTCTCTTCTAGTGGTATGTTAGTTCTAGTTGAGCCCATGTTAGTTCTAGTGGCTCTCATGTTAGTTCTAGCTGATGTCATGTTAGTTCTAACTTCCAGCTAGTGTTATTTCTAATATAAACGTTAGTTCTAGTGGTCTGTTAGTTCTAGTTAAGGTCCATGTTAGTTCTAGTGGCTCTCCCGTTAGTTCTAGCTGATATCTTATTAGTTCTAACTTGCACCTAGTGTTATTTCTAATATAAGCGTTAGTTCTAGTGGTATGTTAGTTCTAGTTGAGCCAATGTTAGTTCTAGTGGCTCTCCTGTTAGTTTTAGCTGATGTCGTGTTAGTTCTAACTTTCAGCTAATGTTATTTCTAATATAAACGTTAGTTCTAGTGGTATGTTAGTTCTAGTTGAGCCTCTGTTAGTTCTAGTGGCTCTCGTGTTAGATCTAACTTTCAGCAAGTGTTATTTCTAATATAAGCATTAGTTCTATTGGTATGTTAGTTCTCGTTGAGCCCCTATTAGTTCTAGTTGTTATCGTGTTAGTTCTAGCTGTCGTCATGTTGGTTCTTACTTCCAGCTAGTGTTATTTCTAATATAAGTGTTAGTTCTAGTGGTATGTTAGTTCTAGTTGAGTCCCTGTTAGTTCAAGTTGAGCCCCTGTTAGTTCTAGTTGATGTCATGTTAGTTCTTACTTTCAGCTAGTGTTATTTCTAATATAAGCGTTAGTTCTAGCGGTATGTTAGTTCTAGTTGAGCTCCTGTTAATTCTGGTGGTTCTCGTGTTAGTTTTAGCTGATGTCATGTTGGTTCTACTTCCAGTTAGCGTTAGTTCTAATATAAGTGTTAGTTCTAGTGGCTATGTTAGTTCTAGTTGAGCCATGTTAGTTCTGGTGGTTCTCGTGTTAGTTCTAGCTGATGTTATGTTAGTTCTAACTTCTAACTAGTGTTATTTCTAATATAAGCGTTAGTTCTAGTGGTCTGTTAGTTCTAGTTGAGCCCATGTTAGTTCTAGTGGCTCTCGTGTTAGTTTTATCTGATGTCGTGTTAGTTCTAAATTGCATCTAGTGTTATTTCTAATTTAAACGTTAGTTCTAATGACTATGTTAGTTCTAGTTGAGCCCATGTTAGTTCTAGTGGTTCTCATGTTAGTTCTAGCTGATGTCATGTTAGTTCTAACTTCCAGCTAGTGTTATTTCTAATATAAGCGTTAGTTCTAGTGGTCTGTTAGTTCTAGTTAAGGTCAATGTTAGTTCTAGTGGCTCTCCTGTTAGTTCTAGCTGATGTTTTGTTAGTTCTAACTTGCACCTAGTGTTATTTCTGATATATGCGTTAGTTCTAGTGGTATGTTAGTTCTAGTTGAGCCCATGTTAGTTCTAATGGCTCTCTTGTTAGTTCTAGCTGATGTCGTGTTAGTTCTAACTTCCAGCTAATGTTATTTCTAATATAAACGTTAGTTCTAGTGATATGCTAGTTCTAGTTGAACCCCTATTAGTTCTAGTGGTTCTCGTGTTAGTTCTAGCTGATGTCATGTTAGTTTTAACTTCCAGCTAGTGTTATTTCTAATATAAGCGTTAGTTCTGGTGGTATGTTAGTTCTAGTTGAGCCCCTGTTAGTTCTAGTTATTCTCGTGTTAGTTCTAGCTGATGTCATGTCAGTTCTAACTTGCAACTAGTGTTATTTCTAATATAAGCGTTAGTTCTAGTGGTATGTTAGTTCTAGTTGAGCCCCTGTTAGTTCTAGTGGCTCTCATGTTTGTTCTAGCTGATGTCGTGTTAGTTCTAACTTCCAGCTAGTGTTATTTCTAACTTCTTGTGTTTGTCTACAATGGGGGTAATCTTACTATGGTAATCATAAACACTTTTTTCTACCCACTTCAACACCAACCAAACACAAGAAAAGTAAATACATTGGTTTTCCACCATATTTTATATGTGAACCAAACCAAAACAATCAATTTCTTGGAAAAGTTTGGAAAACTCAAACCTTGAGTTCCTTTACATGAAATTGCATTTCCCTATATCTAGGAAATGAACCAAACAGCGTCTAAGAAAAAAAAACTAACGCTAGAAAATAGTGAAATCAAGTCCTCAAGAGCATGCCATCAACAAGTTTCTAAATTAGAAAATAGGTCTTTTCAATGTCGATGACATGTTCAAGTTTCCACAAATCTCAGTGCCTGCCTGCACTAAGATAATAGCGAAGTATTGTTTGAAAAAAAATATACCATTTGCAGCTTAAAATAAGATTAGAAAGGTCAAACCATAGGAATAAATAATTATACCATTTGCAGTCCTTGTTAACCTCGCCTCAAAATGTGGTTTTGGATGGATCACTTTTATTGGTACCTGTTTAGCTAATGTACCACTAGATGAACTATTACATCACGTTGTCTCTAAATTGTGTTCATCTGTATTCTGTTTTAATTGGTCTGCAAATGCTTTGGTTGTCAACTTTTTGGACTTCTTGCTTCATTTTTTAGTGTGATTCATTGGGTTTGAGACAGAATACCAATCATGCCATAATCTCATACTAACAGCTTGTTTTTGAGCTTGTATATCTAAATTTGAGCTTATTCGCCTCTCTGTCCTCTCTCATATTTTATCAAGGAGAGTAGATACCATTGTGATTCCGAGGACTTTTTTGTTTTTTCCCGCACATTGTCATCAGGTGTATGGACATTGAGTTGGATATGACGTCAATGTTTTCTTGGATCATATGCTATATAACCTTGATGTGGTTGCTTAGATTTTCAGATCAACTGCTCTTAACGTTGAGATGAATTGATCAAGGTTTTTTGGCGATTTAGTTAGCTTCAACTGGATTAGCTTTGAGGACCCAATTCCCTTTATTTTAGAACTTCTAATGGTCTGATGCTCCATGGCTATTGTGTGAGCTTAAGCCATGTGAGTTGTGACTAACAGGAAAATTCATATTCACATTCTGGTCTTCTAGCTTTGCTTGCCTTTACTTTCCTCAAGCAGGTTAATGTTCTGATTACTAGACTTCAGATTACTTTCATGACTTGGCTATAGCAATTAGGTCAGCTGCACTATGAAGCCTGCTTGACTTGAGGAGTCTTCAGTAATCCATCTCTTTTATGATCACTATAGTTTAGTTTCATAGCTACTGAACTTCAAACAATTTCGGAAATTGGAAAGCAAAGGTGCATGAATCCATCTGAGAGGGTTTTATGAGCTGAGTCTCAGTGTCTATATGCATACTTCATGCAGCAAGCATGATTAAGTGTATGGTGGTCTTATTTGTACCAGGTTAGAAACATCATAATTATTTTCAATTGCTTTTTTGTGCTCTTTTTGTTCATCATTTGAGGATTCTTCTTTTCATAACATTTGAGATTTTAATTGTATAACATTCGAGTTTTAATTGTAAGTTTGTAATGTGCTTTAAAAGTCACTACTCACTAGTAATGAGTGTTTTCCTATACTTTGCACTACAGAATTCTGAATGTTTCTACGGAGGAACTACAACGCAACTTTAATTTAGAAGCATCAGAGACTATAAAGATTCCCTCAGTTTATGCAAGAAACTTCTTGGAGTATTGCTGTTTTAGAGCCCTTGCTGCATCAACACAAGTAACTGGACATCTTGCTGATCTGAAGTTTCGGCGTCTTACATTTGATATGATGCTAGCCTGGGAAGCTCCTGCTGCGAGTCAAGCTTCAATTAAGGTATCCTTTGTCAGTTTTCACTTTCTTTTTCAACAAATTTGTTCTCATAATAATTTTTTCTGCTGTTTTTTGTTCTTCATTACGCTGGTTTTATTAGCTGACATTACGTTCATTCATACAACATAAGTGAATGTAAAACTAAACTAAACCATTCTTTGTAAATATGTATTCTTGTAAGTTCCTCATCTTTGTAACAGGTGGATCGTGACAGTACTGTTGGGATAGAGGCTTTTTCTCGAATAGCCCCAGCAATACCCATCATAGCAGATGTTATAACATGTTCAAATCTTTTTGATGTACTTACACATTCTACTGGAGGTCGACTTTCATTCACTGTCTATGATAAGTACCTTGGAGGACTGGACAGGTTAACTTCCTATGAGCCTTATTCGCATGATTGAGAATTTCGTTCGTTAATTCTAATTATGGCGTTCACTGGTACAAATAAATACCTCTTATTCTTTTTTGATAGACGAACATTTTGTATTCTAGAACACCATTATATGCTTTTAGAGGGTAACTCTCTGTTTCTCTACCTACTTAATTGGCTAAGTGTTTCTGATAAACAGTGACCGATATCTTGTTTGCAACATTAAATATGTAAACATAAGCAAGAATCATCAGAGAATGGTGTTCATTGGTTATACCTTCTTTTGTCTAAGTCTATACACATACTTCTTTAACTATTACTTGCAACAAAGAATTGAGGTTTATAGTGCTAACTTTACAGTAGCGGATATTACTCATGGTTCCTTTTTTGATGTTGGATTACTCTTATAAGAAAAAAAAATTAATATACTTTTGCTTCCTTATTTTACAATTTAATACTAATGTTACATCTGTTCACCCTGAGTCAATATTATGATTCTGGTTGGAAGTTTGAAATGACACATACGATGCTGTAATTCTGTCTTCAGGAGTGTAGCATATTCAAGTGAACAATTGTTCTATATTAGTGATTCAATTGCTGGGTCAGCCTTTATGGTTCCACCAATTAAGAGCTTCGCTACGTTGCTTCTGAGGAGCAAGTAAACCCCTTGCTGAATTTTCCCATGTGATCACTGTAGTAACTCAGCATAAAAAATCCATAACCTCCTCCAGTTTGTGCGATTGCTGGCTCAAGATATCATATATGACGAGTCTGATTAATAACATTTCTCTGTACAAAACTTGCAACTTGGATCCTCTTAATTTCATCTGAGGATCATAATGTACTCCAATTTGATCCTGGTGATGCATTACATTAAGATCGTAATATGGCCTGTGTTGCAACAGGGCCCATGCTATAGCATGCACAAGCCAGCATACAGACGTGCATTTTGAGTATTATACATTACCAATAACATAAACTAGTAGCTTCTATTTTGGTTGCTTAGAAGATGAATTAATTACGGAACAGACTGTAATTGGTGTGAACTCGTCTTCCTGTTGTTTTTACATCTCTCTCTCACGCACCCTAGTGCGCGCACAATGGCTTAAAAAAATTTCTTCCTGTACGTGCAAGCAATTGATTCTTTTAGTATCACTTGCTCATTTGCCATGTCATATACCAGCATCATATCCTAGTTTATCCTAGGTGTATAATTCTTTTATCTTGTAATTATTAACTTTAACAATTGGATATCTCGTCATACAATAGCCTGAAGATATGAGGTACACATACAATCTCTAAAAAGGGAATTTTCCTTCTATGTAGGTCCATAAAGAAAATGAAGACTCAAACAGAATCTTCTCTTCTTTCCGCTTTTCGGTCACATAGAGGGGAAAGGATCCTTGAAATGGATGGCACTTTGACCACTCAACCAGTACTCGAACATGTAGGAATCTCTACATGGCCTGGTAGGTTCCTTCTGTCATTTTGTTTGTATAGCTGTATGTCAATTCAGTCCTTTTCAATATCCTGCTTCAGAGCAGATAGCTTGTCTTTAATACTATCTTTATTCTTGGTCCTTGCATGCTGCTATATGTATAAACTTGATCGAAGTTAACCTTTGCTGCAGGAAGATTAACATTGACGGATCATGCTCTTTATTTTGAAGCATTAAAAGTTGTGACTTATGACAAGGCAAAAGTATATGATCTTGCCGATGATTTAAAGCAGGTTATCCGGCCTGAGCTGACTGGTCCTTGGGGTTCACGCCTTTTCGACAAGGCAGTTATGTATAAATCCACATCCTTGTAAGTATTATTAATCATCATAAATTCTGACCCTTCTCTGTTGTCATTAAGCTGTTCTAAGAGCTTATTGGGATAAATTACTGTCACTAATGAGATGGTATATATTTTTCTAGATCAGAACCAGTCATCATGGAGTTTCCTGAGCTTACAGGGCATTCTCGTCGTGACTATTGGTTAGCCATTATTCGAGAAATTCTTTATGCTCATAGATTCATTAGGAAGTTTCGGATTGTGGGCGTTGAGAGGGAAGAGACACTATCTAAGGCTGTATTAGGCATTCTTCGATTGCAAGCTGTTCAAGATTTAGTCTCTTCATTGCCTGTAAAATGCGAAGCTCTTCTCATGTTCAATCTTTCTGATGAGCTTCCTGGTGGCGATTTAATATTAGAAACTCTTGCTTCCATGGCACTCTCTAGGGGATGGGATCAGACCAATAATTCCAATTCGAGGAATGGAATGCATTCAATATCTGCGTTGACAATTTTGTCTAATCTGGGGGTTATGTCACAAGGTAGTGATGATGGAAAACTCCTTGTTGGTGAGATACTTGTTGGGGAAATGACCTCCCTAGAAAGGGTTGTTAATGAATCTAGGAACAATTATAAAATGGTAGAGAAAGCGCAAGCCACAGTTGATGGGGTCAAAGAAGATGGGCTTGACACCAATTTGGCCGTTCTGAAGGTACCTGAATACTTCACTTATGCTTTTACTACAGCATATTATTTAATGCTAATTGAGATAGTTCTTTGTCATGGTATCAGCTTTTAACACAATTGGGAAATTTTAATTTATATGTTTTGCTATATCAATTCTGGAATTGTGATGTGAAGACTGCAATTGCAATCATAAGTGTTTTTGCAACGTGTCATTTTGAGACTGAACAGATTTCAACTGTTTAGGAAGTTTTTAACTATTGAATGTATCTGACGAGTGAAGAGGGAAACGTTCAAACTGACAGATAATTTGTCACGAGGGGTTTTGTCTTGCCATAATGAGAAAAATGTCTATCAGGAAAATCTTGTCTCGAGCAGGGAGCAAAATTTAAAGCTTATGAAGGCGATTTTGTCGTACTTAATCATGTGAAATATATGCACATGCTGTCTACAATCTAATCTAAACTTCTCAAAGAGATATAGTTTGAGAAATGAAGTGTTCTTTAAACTATTTGTAGTAATAATGTGAATTCATATTTTGTCTGTTTGGAATAGAAAATTGTGTTCTTTTCAACAACATTATATTTCTAAAACTTTGAGGACAATAAGTTGGAAGTTCTGTTTGAAAAGCACTACAAATTGCACTGTCTAATCATTATGCATCTTACATCAAAGTAAACTGTAAAAAAGGTCTTCATAAGAGGAAACGACCCATTTTGAATCAAGAAAGACCATTTTGAACCCAGAAACACTATGGTAGTAGAGTTGAGGGGTGACTGAGTCTAAAGGAAAGAAAAGGCAAAGGTATGTAAAAAAAAACAATGAAAAACACAGGTATTTGATATATTGTGCTCATATTTCATCACCAGTTGAATAGCCTGAAGTTGAAGAAGGATGTTGCCCATTACCAATGGTACTTCTCTTAATGAAAAGAGTGGGGCTAATAAGGTCAGCTGCAACAATGGAGCGAACAGATCAACTGAAAGATGGGAGGGAAATACTATTTAAAATCTGCAAAGGAGGTTTGTATAATAAGCACAATATTGTATAATAAGTACAATATTTTACTGCAAGGGATCTTCAGATGTTATAATTATCTAAATTAATTATTATAATCACTAATATATTTTTTTGGGCATGGGAGGGTGGGGTAGCAGGGGCATTCCCCCGCTGTCTGTCACTAGAGATTCCTTCATCAGCTAAGAATGATAAAAGTGATTGTAGCCGGAGCTGATCCTTGTTCGTCATCGAAGAAAAGTTGGATGTTCTGGGTATGAGCAACATATCATAAAATAGACCGGCAAAGGAGATAAACTTCTATAATGTTGTAAAGGAAACCTATAATAGAATAACGATACGTCACATGTCCAGAGGACTAATCGTGTAGCCAACATTTAGTGGAAATTGTTAATAGCCTATAATGTTAAGAAGTCATTCATTTGACAGTAACACCACTAGTAAAAGCAGAATTGAGGTATACACACTGATGGATTAACACAACAATTCAAAACTCTGGTCAAATTTATAAGACTAGTAAAGAAAAGAAAGTTTTGGATTTATTGCACATAAAATTTTAGGAGAAAGGCAATTGGCTATGAGTTTAATTCTTGCAGTGACTGATAATCAGTTGGACAGTAAGAAGCGTCTTACTTCCTGGTCACAGCCTCACAGCAGCAGAAACATCTGAAATTTGCTATTACTTTTCAAAATCATTACTGTGTATTGGTGTGATTTACTTATATCTGACATCTTATGCCTTGAGAAGCATCTAAGTTGTTACATATCATCAATGGTTAATTAGTTCTTTTTTTTTTGGATATTTGGTTTTCATGCCTTAGAAAACTAAAATTATTTATTCCCAATAGCAGGTTTTTTTTTCTTTTGTGTTTTAGATTATTAGTTTTCTAGAATATTAGATGCTTATTCCTAGGTTGCATGATGACAAACATGGTCAGCCTTCTACACACTGAGTTGCCAAATATCCCACTACATTCTATGGAAATCCCTCTGTTCTCTATGTTTTCCTTCATCAAGGCTAACCTAGAGGGTTGATGGCTGTGCTTCGTGCATGTGTTGATAACTCATTTTGCTAAATGAGCTAGCGAGAGATATACATGCAGCCAGGCCCACTCTATACTAGATTACTAGTATATCGATCTTTTTTCTCGTGGTAGCTTACTTAACAAAATGAGCTGCTGCCACATAAGCATCAAAGCTTATATTATGTATCTATAAGTAATTGTTGTGTCGCTAATATGGTACACATCTCAAGAATCACTTATGAGGTATGTTGATGGTCTAGATTGTATGTTTTATGTATGTGTATGAACGCGCGTGGGGGGCATGTGCGTATATGGTGGTGGAGTGTAGGTGGGTGCAGTTGTGGGGTCGGTGGTGTGGGTGAGTGGGTGCATACATGCATGTATGTTGTGTATGTCTGTCTGTCTATCTGCATAAGTTCGGGCATCCGTTCTAGTTGATGATTGCAAGAAACTGTCATGAAGAATTCTTAATTTAATTTATGCCTATATCCAAGTCTACTTTGATAGAAAAAAGGATTGATGATGATGATGATTATCATGGTTTCCTATATGAGAACTTTTCCCGCTTAGTCTGTCTCTTTGGGTATGCCATAATTTGAAATTTGTTCCCTATTGCTTCTTCCCTAACTAAAAAATGGGTCCACTTATTCTTTGTCTTAAATGGCTGTTACAACCTGACCTGTGAAGGTAGGCCTACCTACTCGAAGGCTTGTCATTGATGTTTCATGGCAGGACTAGGGAACTCAAGTTTTGCATGTGTTTGCCTGGATTAGGGCTTTGGCGCCTATCTTAGAATTGGTAGGTTTGTTTGAAGCTTTTCTCAACTTCGAATATTGCTTTTTGCAAATACCATTTTGATAGGAAGAGGTTTTATTGATGATGATCATCATCCATAGATTTGATATTCTGTGACCATCAATGAGGTTTGACTTATGATGATCTATAACACTTAAGATGCACATCCATGAACAGCGGGATAGATCGGGCAGGCTTTTTATTGTCCTTGTATTGACAGCCTACATCTGGCCAATTCTTTGCTATATATTGTCTCTTCTTGTTTATGCTTAGAGAGATGTGGAAGTGTTTTCTACTATTTACTTGTTGAAATTCTTATGTTTCACCTTCATATGTTTGTCAAGCTGTAGTTTTTATTGATCATATCTATCCGTGTTCTTTTGGTTCTTGTCTTTTCCTGGTATTTGTTGTTTCTTCCTTTGCTGTCAGCTTCTTGCAGATAAATGGCTGTTGGACTGCGGTGTGTCAAGAACCATTGTCCCTTTTCCTCTCCATTAGTTGAAATGATACCCCCTTTTGGCTTTTCCATTACCATTTTATTTGATAATGCTAGACGTCCACGCAGGCTGCTTTTGCTAGACTTTAAAATCAGAAAGGACATTTCTTTTGGAAATTATTGTACCATGCAACGAAGTTCTAATGTTTCTGAAAAAGATGATGCTTTGAGACTGTTTGCTTAATTAAATATAACGTGCAATATGCTTAGGCTTTTCTAGTTGTATCTGCATTTGTTTTCTTTGATTCTGACTTCAGTAACCACGAAATCCGATCGCAATATTTGAAGTGCTTTTGAGCACTAGGTATGATAGATGTATTTCCAAGGATCCCAGTCTGCATTTTCAGGTAATAGCATGCATTTTCATGAGATTCTAGCTTATGTAGTTATCTAATATTTGCAGGAGTTGCTATGTCCTATGGTGGTGCTGGGAAAGAAGCTTACCTTTCTGGCATCTTGGGAGGATCCATTCAAGTCTTTTGTATTTTGTTCTTTGTCTAGTTTCATCATTTTCAGGTTAGTATCTGTTCCTTTTGGTGAGACAAACCCAACAGTGAGATCTTACGTATACTTTTCTACATTTACACGGTTTTTGTTTTATTTACATTATATTTATTATGGCGTCATTAGTATATTCTTGGTGTTGATATGAATAGCATAGGATACTTCTTGCGAAAAGATTTTGGATTATTAGTGCAATGTATAGTGTGAAAGTGAATGGCTCAATGCTATGTTTTGCATCTTTTGGCTTCCCAATCATGTATAAGTTGAAGATGATGATGAAGTAAAAAGTCGGTGAAGATAACTGTCGGTGGAATACATATGACCATGTCCAGCATACAGAACTCAAATAATTGAAAATCATTATTATTACCATGACCCATTATCAGTGATATCATACATAGAAGTTGATGATATTAAACTTTAAATGTTGATGCCTAAGATGAGTGCATCTACAAAGGCCAAAACCAAATGTAAACAAAGCATTAATTCATCAACTATCCATTATCAACACTAAATCATACGTGAAATATTTTGCTGTCATCCTTCAAAAGTGGCTTTTTGTTGTGCTAAGAAATTTAATTTAGCGACCAACAAACTAGAGGCTCTGACATGTTAAAAAGAACGTCTTAACCCTTCGCCAAACAGTCTGTAACGTTCAAAATAGCAACCATAATGCATCAGAAGGCAGAAATGTACTTTGTAATTTGGTATTATGCTGCTGAGTGGAAGGAGTTCGTTTCTCTATCTTTTCCAAGTTCAACTTTCACTTGGGAAATTGTTTTTTTTCTTGGGTAATGCACCCGAATTCTCTATTAGCCCTTAATAGTTCTGTAAAGTCACATCTTTATTATCTATATTTGTCACCATTCCTTTGATTATTTTCTATCCTTTGATTATTCTTTTTGACATTTGAATTCATGCAGGGGGTGGTTGGGTTATGTACTTGCTGCAGCACTCCTCTTTGTTGCAATCTTCATGCTGCTCACTAGATATTGTAATCAAGGAAGGCCGATCGATCAGGTTAAAGTTGTGGCCCCTCCACCAATGAATACCATGGAGCAGCTCTTGGCTGTTCAGAATGCTATTTCACAGGTTGAGGAGTTTGTTCAGGATGCTAATATCGTTCTTTTGAAGATAAGAGCTCTGCTGCTTGCTGCCCCTTCCCAGGTTTTCCTCATCCACACATGCTATAATGCACTATCGTAAAAGAAATAATTACAATTGAAACATAAACACCTAAAGTTTCCTAGTTTTGGGTGATCTTGTTCGTACTATTTACTAAACTAGTGGCCCTTATGGGGGACTATTTACTAAACTAGTGGCCCTTATGGGGGCTATGTATCTGAAAGAGATATTCATCAGAATCTAGAGTTTAAAATTAAAAAAAAGATATTGTGGTATGTCTAGAGTTTGTCCACTACTATTGATATCAGCTTGTTATTAATGTATATTCGTTTATATTTTAGCTATGAATTGCAAAAATTGAGGACGCTTGACATTATAGGCATTTGGAACAATCTTGCATAGCTAAAGGTTGATTTATCATCATCATCATCATTATTATTATTTTGAGATCACCTAATGGTTGATTTTAAAAGAGGTCGGGTGTGTAGCTATACGAAATCCTTTAAAATCTCCATAATGCTAATTTAGTACCATTATGCTTTTGCACCACATTCAGTCCCAAAACCATCTATTTTTTTGACCGTGCAATTTTTTGCTATGATATTGATAATTTAAAAGATAATAATTGCATGCTGTAAATGGGTTAAAGCTGAAACTCCAATTGCATCCAACCCTAAACAGAAGTCCAAACAACTGATACTCTAAACCAGATCATTTGCAACTGTGAGTACAACTACAGAGTAAAAAATTTAGAACTGAATTGAGCACATGCGAAGTGTACTGCATACGACAGTTACATGCAATAGACACTTGCATTTTTAATTACAAATTGCAACAAATTGAAACAACCCTAAATCTTAAAGAGAGAAGCTCCATAGACCTTGTCACGGGAAGACACGTGGATTTACTACTTGGGGGGAAAAAACTTACGTACTGTTTGATTCATGTGTTAACAGGCAACAGATAGAGCTATACTAGCACTGGTTTTACTGGCCTTGATCACAGCCTTCCTACCTATCAAATGGTTAATCCTTCTGACATTTCTTGAGACATTCACGAGATACTCACCTCCAAGAAGGCTGAGCACTGAAAGATGGACGAGAAGAATGAGAGAGTGGTGGTTCAGCATACCGGCAGCTCCAGTGGTTCTGAATCGAGAGAGCAAAGAAGACAAGAAGAGGAAGTGAACCCTTTGTTGTATATAAGACAAGAAGAGGAAGTGAACCCTTTGTTGTATATACTGTACGTTGAAAATGTATCAATATGTACTTAGAAATAGGCTTTGTTCATGTTATCATAGAGATATGTTCACAATAATGCATTTATTTTAACCTTATATCGTGTTTCTTTTGTGTTAATATGTGCGTTCTTCCATTCTTTTTTGGAGTTATTTGCAGCAAATTCTCGTGTTCTGTTAGATTCTACACCGAACCGTGTGCGAACAAATATCAAACAGTAATCTTGGTTCTTTTGGATGTACGAAAATTGCTGCTCCCCGTAAATCAAATCATGTATTTTAGGGAGATGAAAACCTGGGCAATTTTTACTCTTGAAACTTTTGCAGGGACATGAATGTGGAAATCCCCTGTACTTCCTTAACGCAGACTATCGAAGATGAAACTTTCATCTTCTCAAGCATTTCATCTCTTCGACTTTTAACTCTTTTCTTATTGATTGAGAGAAGTTGGGGCTAAGTAAGATAATTTTTTCAAGGAAAAATTGCTTCAAAGCCTCAAAATCCAAAAAGTCATGTGACCCAGCCCCTCATACTTTTGATTATGTGCTGCAGCCCCAAAAATGAAGATTCTATGTGATTCAGTCCTTATTACAATTTCCAAGAAAATAAATCTCCAAAAAACCCCAAACTACCCCTCTTCTTCTTTTCTAGATCTTCTTCTTCTCCAGATTTTCTCCTTCTTCCTCTTCTTGCTCCGCTCTTCTTCGTCTCGTCCAACTCCACTCCCTCTCTCTCAAACTCCAGCGCCGCCTCATAAGGTGTTACCACCTCCCTCAACGCCGCAGTCGCCGTCGTCGCCGCTCCAGCACCCGTCGTGCCCCTCCTCAGCATTTCGGGTCATCCTCCACAGCCTACTCAACTCCGCCACCACCGCCACATCGGCCACCCTCATCTTGTCGGGTTTAGTTCTTCGTCTAATTTCACATTTTTTTTGTTTAATTAGTTGAGTTAGAGAAGGAGATCTCGTGTTATGTCCTGTTATCCAACAAAACCCATGACCGCATTGCCTTCAAGGTATTTCTCATTGATTTTCCAGTTAAATTCAATAAATAAATAAATATTAAAAAGAGGGGAAAAGATTGATTGTTTTGGGGGTTTTTTGGCTTGTTTTAGGTTATGGCATCCACCTGGAATTGCACAATGTGGCCCAACAGAGAGATCCTCTTGCCACAATCCACATCCTCCCCAGACTTCAGATTAGTTGCATCAAGATAAAAATGAGTATCAGTGTATTGTGAAGTTATGGATTATTACACTAATGTAATTCCATCTGGGTCTTTTCCTTAATCTGGTGCCTCAGTAGGCACAATGTTATTTGGCTTTCATCTTGCCTTAAACGTAGATGTAATAGCTAAATATTTTTGTATGTATGTAGTAACTGTGTATATGAACTGAAATACTTTTGTAGGGATGTGAACTATAATGAAAATGTGATATAAAATTGATGCACAAATTTATCCTATTAACTATTAAAATACTTATATAAGCCATTAACTATTGAAATACTTTTGTTAGTTTGTTAAGTTACTCTGTTAGATTGTTAAGTTACACAGGTAACATGTTAACTTTTTTTGGTAGCTTGTTAAGTTACACAGATAACATGTTAACTTTCACAGGTAAATTGTTAAGTTACACATGTAACATGTTAACTTTTTTGGTAGCTTGTTAAGTTACACAGATAACATGTTAAAGCTTCAGGCTTCCTTTCAACGGATAAAGCATCACAAAGAGCTTGCTTTGCCATTTGGATGTCAGTTTGAAGTCTCCTCTCCCATTGGCATGAACCTGAATATAGTTAACAAGCACCGTAAAATAGTTAACATGAACCTGAATATAGTTAACAAACACTTTAAAATAGTTAACATGAACCTTAATATAGTTAACAAGCACCCTCAAATAGTTAACATGAACATGAATATAGTTAACAAGCACCGTAAAATAGTTAACATGAACCTGAATATAGTTAACAAGCACCTTAAAATAGTTAACATGAACCTGAATATAGTTAACAAGCACCTTAAAATAGTTAACATGAACCTGAATAAAGTTAACAAGCACCATAAAATAGTTAACATAAACCTGAATATAGTTAACAAGCACATTAAATTAGTTAACATGAACCTGAATATAGTTAACAAGCACCCTCAAATAGTTAACATGAACCTGAATTAGTTAACAAGCATCCTCAAATAGTTAACATGAACTTGAATATAGTTAACAAGCATCCTCAAATAGTTAACATGAACCTGAATAGAGTTAACAAGCACCTTAAAATAGTTAACATGAACCTGAATATAGTTAACAAGCACACTCAAATAGTTAACATGAACCTGAATATAGTTAACAAGAACCATCAAATAGTTAACATGAACCTGAATATAGTTAACAAGCACCTTAAAATAGTTAACATGAATCTGAATATAGTTAACAAGAACCCTCAAATAGTTAACATGAACCTGAATATAGTTAACAAGCGCCGTAAAATAGTTGACATTTTAAGAGCCTTCTCGCCTTCTTCTTTTCTTGCATATCCAGCAATTAGAGCATTCCATGAGATTTCGTTCTTGGAATCCAACCGATCAAACACAAAACAAGGCTCATCCATCTTCCCAAAACGTGCATACATATCCAACAATGAACTCCCAACAAACACATTCAAGCTGCAAGAATATTTAACACTTAAAGCATGAATTTGTTCCCTAATTCCAACACTTGCAGCAGAACTAGTGGCCTTCAAAAGGCTCGCAAAAGTAAACTCGTTAGGTTTCAATCCAAGTACGAGCATTTTAGGAAGCAACTCCAATGCCTCTTTAGGATGATCACTCTGTGAGTAACCAGTTATAAGTGCAGTCGTGTTGACCATATCTTTAACAGGCATTTCATCAAACGCTTTGTGGGCATCGATCAAGTACCCACATTTGGAGTACATATTAATGACTGAAATTTGGAAGAAAGTGTTGTCTTGAATCTAGAACTCATGACCTGTAGTTGCTCAGCTTGTGCTCGCCTCCCATGATCCTAAAACTCATGACCTTCTTCTCGTCGTCGAAGATTTCGAGGTGCTTGGTGCTGCTGACGGCGGGGATGCTGGAGATAAGGCGGACCTCCTCGTCGTCGAAGATTTCGAGGTGCTTGGTGCTGCTGACGGCGGGGATGCTGGAGATAAGGCGGACCTCACGGAGGCAGCCGGCGGTGAGGGAGGAGTCGCCGTCGAGGAGGCGGAAGGACTTGACGAAGCTCTTGTAGAACTGGGGGGAGTCGAAGCGGCGAAGGAAGGAGACAGAGGAGGGAGGTAGGAGATGGGGAAGGAAGAGGAGGAAGAAGTGTGATTTTGGCGGGAAGATGACAGTGATTTTGGGAGGGGTAAAATTGGGTTTTTTAGGAAACCATGAGCTGGAGTCATGATGGAGGGGTTTGGGCAAAAAAATTTCAAAAATTTGGGGCTGCAACACATAACCAAAAGTATGAGGGGCTGGGTTACATGACTTTTTGGATTTTGGGGCCTTGAAGCAATTTTTCCTTTTTTCAATGGAACAATTTTGGGAATTTCTTGAGTGGTGTGAAGTGAGACAATTTAGGATAATAGGATAATTTGAAGCTTTGATTTGACAATTCATATGAGATAATTGATGATGTGACACCTTATTAAAGTATAATATTTATCTATCAATTAAGGATAAATTAATTTACCTAATTGGTTTAATATATTATTTGGTATGTTATTATAATATATTTTACTTTATACTCAAATATAATATATTATATTATAATTACTAATTAATTATAATTATAGTTAATGTTATTAATTAATATAATATAATGTATTATAATAATATGATATATTATATAATAATTGATATAATACAAAGAATATATTTAATATATTATTTAATCAAATATTATAATATTTTGTTTAATTTAATATAAATTATTTAAAATTGTAATACCCCAACCCTTGAGAGGGTGATGTGATTAGTATTGATAAGATTTGATTGGAATACTCATACCCTTGAGAGGGTGATGTGATTAGTATTGATAAGATTTGATTGGAATACTCATACCACCAAGATGCATCTTCTTTTCGGAAACCCAATTCTTAGAAACTACTAGATTTGATTGGAATACTCATACCACCAAGATGCATCTTCTTTTCGGAAACCCAATTCTTAGAAACTACAAAGTTAAGCGTGTTTGGCCTGGAGAAATTCTAGGATGGGTGATCCCCTGGGAAGTTTTTCAGGGAGCGCGTGAGGGAGGACAAAACGTGCTGAAAAGACATGTGGTGGTTTGTGAGGCCAGTCCATCAGATCTAATAGCATACCAACTCCGGGATTCCGGGACGGGACGTGTGCTATGCGGCGCAAAGTGCTACGTCGAGAGGGCGGGAGCCACCTCTTGAGGCCGTAGGAGCCACCTCTAGAATCTCACACGGATGGTACGGTCTTGGATGATATGATTTGGCACAACGAGGACGTTGTGAGTTTAAGTGGGGGAGTATGTAATACCCCAACCCTTGAGAGGGTGATGTGATTAGTATTGATAAGATTTGATTGGAATACTCATACCATTAAGATGCATCTTCTTTTCGGAAACCCAATTCTTAGAAACTCCAAAGTTAAGCGTGTTTGGCCTGGAGAAATTCTAGGATGGGTGACCCCTGGGAAGTTTTCCAGGGAGCACGTGAGTGAGGACAAAACGTGCTGAAAAGACATGTGGTGGTTTGTGAGGCCAGTCCATCAGATCTAATAGCGTACCGACTCCGGGATTCCGGGACGGGGGGTTACAAATGGTATCAGAGCAAAGCCAACCGGAATTGTGAGAGCTAAGTGCTATGCGGCACAAAGTGCTACGTCGAGAGGGCGGGAGCCACCTCTTGAGGCCGTAGGAGCCACCTCTAGAATCTCACACGGATGGTACGGTCTTGGATGATATGATTTGGCACAACGAGGACGTTGTGAGTTTAAGTGGGGGAGTTTGTAATACCCCAACCCTTGAGAGGGTGATGTGATTAGTATTGATAGATTTGATTGGAATACTCATACCACCAAGATGCATCTTCTTTTCGGGAACCCAACTCTTAGAAACTCCAAAGTTAAGCGTACTTGGCCTGGAGAAATTCTAGGATGGGTGACCCCCTGGGAAGTTTTCCAGGGAGCGCGTGAGTGAGGACAAAACGTGCTGAAAAGACATGTGGTGGTTTGTGAGGCCAGTCCATCAGATCTAATAGCGTACCGACTCCGGAATTCCGGGGCGGGGCGTTACA